GACAGAGTGAGACTCCAACTCAAAAAAAAAAAATTGTTTATTTACTTAACCTAAAATTTAAATTTGAATATAAAAATGTAATTTACCTAGATCAATGGTTTCAAATGTTTCAAGTATAATACCTATATTCAGAATTAATATATATGTCAAAGGTTTTCATAAGATCTCATTGGTATTTTATGTAATTTGTGTAAAAAATGGTCCACAGGTACTATGAATTAAGAACTCTTTAAGTATTTAGTTACTTGGAAGATAATTTCTGAACATTTTCACTATAGTCATATGTGTATTTTTATAATGTATATTATTTATTTAGTCTCCAAAAATTCATACATTTGGGGAATGGACTCACTATTCTTGAATTTTCTATTGTCTCCTACCAGGACATGAGTAAAAAAATAAGTGCCATACATTTGTATAGTGTTGAAAATCTGTAGGGGAGGAAAGGATGAATAGATGGAACACAGACAATTTTTAGGGCAGTAAAATATCTCTTCTTGATACCATCAAAGTGGTTACATGTCATTACATATTTGTCAAAATCTATAGCATGTACACTTCAAATGAATCCTGCTGTAAACTATGGACTTTGGATGATGACGAAGGGAAGGAACGTGTGTGAGATCAGGTCTGTGTGAGGTATGGGAAGTCTACTTACACTCAATCTTGCCGTGAAGTTAACAGTGCCCTAAGAAATAAAGCCCATTAAAATGAAATAGACAAATGCATGGGGGAAAATATATAAATGTATAGGCATATTTGCATAAATATATGTATAAACATAGAGACATAAATGTGTTAAATGAGACTGTATAATATCTAGGAAATAAATACATACATAAACATATAAACAGATTGTATAAATACATATACACAAATTAACTACTTATGGCATTGAGTATGTATATATTATTAATTCTTATTGAAGCTTTTGAGATAAATATCTTTGTCACTCTAGTGACGTGCAATCCAAGACAGAATGCTGAAGCCTCTTCCAAAGTTCACATAGCTCTAAGGGCCACAGCAGGGGTTTGACCCTGACTTCTTTTATTAGTCATTATTTGTAATCACAAATAATTTACTATGTATGTTTTTTGTCCCCCCCCCAAACTTTCAAGTCATGAGATTCTATAGTGCTTACAAGATTTGATTTAGTGAGTGGTGCTGGTGATGTTGGAATTGAACATTTTTTTACATTTAATTTAGGGAATTAACTTCCCTTTTCTTTAGAATTGACATTTGCCTGACTTATTATGTAGTTACATCCTTTAACAATGACACTGGTCACTTCTAGGTTGGCTAGAAAATGTATACATCATTATTATGAAGTTAATTTAACTATTTTCATTTTTAAATTCCAGTGACCCTTTAACTACATATCATAGTTCACCATCATTTCCTCATCTACATGACACTATTCTGGTGTGGTTTTAAAATAAAAATAAACATTGCTGACATAAAATGCTTCAGTACAAAATGCAATGTCACCTGTCGGGAAAGAGAATAATGCAGGTAAATCACCTCAGGAGATTTCTTAATCTTTGGCTTATTTTATACTTATTGAATACTTAATACTTTGGTGCAAAGCCTAAAATAACTTGTATACACAAATTTAGATAACAAAATTTAGATAGTCATATAACTGTCTAATAATAAAATATTCCAGTTTAACATTTTGAAAATGCACATTTTTTGTATATGATTTTTTTGCTACGTAATTGAAGGTCATTGGAAAACACCACTCCATCCTATTCAGTGTGGATAGTTTTCACATAATGTGGATTTGATTGAAATATGGCAAACAACAGTAAAAAGTTCTCTGTTTCCAGAGTTATTCAGAAGTAGAAGTGTAAATTATCTGCTCTGGTTGGCTGTTATTAAGAGTCAGTTACCTCTGTATGTTTACCAACATTCTCTATCTTCAGATTACAAAGATCTGTTCTCCCATCAGAAGGCATGCTCTGCCACAGTATAAAGGGCCAAGTCCTAACCCACTGCATATGCCACATTCTCAGGCAAGTTTTCCTCCAAGGACTACCTCTAAGAAACTTCCAAAATGTCACATTCTGTGTAAAAAAAAAAAATGGCAAAAAGTATTTTGTTACTCTATATAAATTATTCTTGCCGGGCTCGGTGGCTCAGCCTGTAATCCCGCACCTTTGGGAGGCTGAGGTGAGTGGATTGCCTGAGCCCGCGGGTTCGAGACCCGCCTGGGCAGCAAGGCCTCATCTCTACAATAAATCAAAAAATCAGCCAGGTGTGGTAGCGCGCGCCTGTAATTCCAGCTACTTGGTAGGCTGAGGCGGAAGGATCGCCGGAGCCCAGCAGGTCGAGGCTGTGGTGGCCGGGAGCGGCCACTGCACTCCAGTCTGGGCAGCAGAGTGAGACTCCAACTCAAAAAAAAAAAAAAAAAATTATTCTCACTTAGTCAAGTTTAGTGAGAACTTACAACTCTATCTACATTTTTCAAAATTAAAAAAATAGAATATTTTATGCCTTTGAGCAAGCCTTTAAATTACTAATGTGATAACCCTAATCTTCTGGAATTTATCCCAAGTTAATACTGTATTGACTTTGCATGGTTCCCCTACAGATAAACAAATACTGGTGATAGATGAACAAATAAATATTTTAGAAGGTTATCATTTTCTTACTGAAATAAAATGGAGGGATATACTAATCAACAGTAGAAGAGTGAGACCTAAAACATGCTTGTGCCTTACAAGATATATAGGTTGTATGATGACACATTCATACTGTTTGCTTAGAAAAGTGGGATACATTACTAATTAAATGCTAGCAGAATAATTCTAAAAATAAAATTATACTTTGAATTCATCCTAGAATATCTAAACTTGTAGATTTATCTAAAGAATAAAGCTTGACAAACATTGAGGCACATAAATCAGAGCAGAATTTTTAAATACAAGTATCAGACCTATCTTTATGAGTTTTGCAGCTTTTGGTGGTTAATTAGTTATTTAAGCTTCCATAGGGCTAAATAATACCTGTTTTAATTATTACACCTTGGATTATAATGGAAGTATATGTTTCATTGTGCTCCAACAATGACCAAATTGTCACACTGAGTTTAATCATGGCATGAGTTTTTTGAGAATGCATTTTTTAAAAAAGATACTTAACTTGTATTAAGCAAAACATTCATTTGTAATGTAGCTTTCCTAATTGTTTTGCCTAAATTTATTTTCTGGCAATATTCATTGATTATGAATACTTTTATAAGGAAATTCACTAAAGTTAATGTTCAGTGTTCAGAAATCAGTTTTTTCTCTTCCTCTCTGTCACACAGGTTAAAGAAGTGAAATCTAGAATAGCTGTAGTTATTACTGACATATGGAAAGTCAATATGAAGGACTGGAGTCAAAAAAAATCCCAAGAAAAATGGATCAGAGCTCTAATCATATGACTTGCCAAGTCTAACTTAACTTTTGGCATTATTAGTTATATGAAACAATACTTTTCCTGAAATCATTTGCCAGTTTAAGTCAGATCCGTACTTATGTGTAAAGAAGTATACAACAGATAAGACATTTGTTACCAGAAGTGGGGTTACTAGTAACAGGTTAGAGTACTTAAAAGTGAAAGAAGTGTGAAAAAAAATTATATGTTGTATGAGAAGCTAAAAACTTTGTTTTACAACTGCACAACAATTAGTTAAAATGAGAGATATTTTACTTTAGATCTCATAACACGTGCTAACAATACTACAATATTACTTAATTGAAAAAAATAGGTAGGATGATTAATTCTATAGTCAAAAAAAAAAACTGTTGCTTTGATTTTTGCCTCTGAAACCAGAATAAAAAATAAAGTACTGTCAAAAGTCACTCTTTTTTCTGTGATCAGTGATACAAGTACACTAAATTTAATTTGGGGGGGGCCCTCTGTGTTTGGAAGAGTTGAATTACCACAAACCCAAGAGAGGAATATGAAATATGAGAGTCATAGTAGGAGAAAATATAGAGGAATAGGAAATATATGGCCTTCCTCCAGCATATTTTTTAAGTTCTGTCTCCTTGAAAAAAATATATAAGCACTCACATTATGGAAATGAAATCAAAACAAGAATTGAGAGGAGATAAACATACTCACCTCTACCTATTGTTTCTATTGGTTCTGTAAAAAAGCAGATTATATACATGTATGTGTATATAAACAGTCTTCAAACTATGTCTTAAACAGACAAATATTTCCCAATAAAAGATGGTACCAAACAATAATTATGACATTATTATTCAAAAGTCTTGGAAGTTAGTGCATTAAATGTCTCCTAAATGTAACTAGTTGACATTCTTTTTACACATATAAATCAAGTATCATTTTTTTTAAATGATTTAAAATTTAAACAATATTTTTCTAAGAATGTTTTTACTGATCTTATAAATCATTAAGAATAATTTTTAATAAACACATAAAAAGACTTTAAGTCTGATTTATTTTTAAAGCAATATTTAATTGCATGAATTACTATTTACAGGTGTTTAAAGTGGACAAGAATCGTTTTTATCTCTTCAGTAATATTTTATATTAACTAAAGATATTTTGATTCAATATTAATGGCAACAAATCTCCATACTTGTTACTTATTAGTACTGTGGGTTTTTTGTTTGTTTTGTTTTACTTTTTAATGAGGACGAAGCAGTAACAACCAATGTCTATAAAATAAAGCACACGTTTATATTGGTGATTTTACAAATCTTTTCTCAAGTGTAAATTCCAAAAAGAAATTAAAAATTCTAACAATTAGAGAATATTGATTTGATTTTCAACTCTAGCATTTCCGTTTTACCCCAAAAGAGAACATTAAAAATATGACCTTGCTATAACAGACCTCTTGTTGATATCATAAAAGATTGGTGGGAGCAAGAAATTATATCACTGATATGTGAAAATTTGCAGTTAGCTCTGCAAATTATTAGGGAGATGTTGAAAGTTAAAAAATTAAGATAAAATGTGGTGATCCCCAAACCATTTTGACATTATTTTGACAATAAGTAGTTTAATCTTAACCGATGTTTTTTAGTTATATAATCCCCCTCCACTCAAATGTCTTTAAAAATACATTAAACAGTACAATAGCAAAACTCAAAGAGCACAAACTATTTTCCAGAACAGAAAAAATCTAGTGCAGAAAGAAATCTCATAGTAAAGAGCAGATTCCTTTGGAGACTTTAGTCAATGAGCTTTTAGTCATTATGAAGATTTTTCTTTCCTCTTTGGGGGAGAGTCTATTCTATTTGAAGTTTCCACTCCATTCTCTGTTCCTTTTTTAGAAGACCTTGACCGCTTCTTCTTCATACATGCGGCCTTAAAATGAGTATCTTCTAACCACCTCTGAAGCCGGAGGTTAATTAAGCTCCATGTTACATACACTTGGATGGTGCAACTGGACGACAGAACAGCAATTTTAGCTGCCAACACATTTACGTTTCCAGTGATGGCATCCTTATTCCGATTCTGCGATCCAGCCAGGTGGAATCCAACAGTGACTACCGAAACAATTAAAGTTAGAAGCCTACCCAAGATAAACACAATGGCCCACAGAGATATCCCTTTCTGATACTTCTCGTCACTAAAATAAAACAGGCCACATACATGGGAGAGTAATTCAACAAAATAATGCAGCACTAAAAGAAGAAGTCCCAAATGATCCAAATACAGGAGATAAGCTCCAGCAATGTGAAAGAGGTGAAGACCAATGTAGACAAGGTGGCGAGGGATATCTTGTTTTTTGATTTTCTGGAAGTAGAGTTCAGGAAAAGCATGAAACCAGTAAGCCAACTGGGCTATGTAGAAAAACTTCACTTGAAATGTCATCATGTTATGGGGATGAGCTCTCCATAAGAGAGTTGGGTCTGACAGGCAGTTTTCGGAGATTAGAACGACTGTGCCCCAAATGCAGGAAACAAAGTAGAATACACTAAACTGACCCGATTCATTAAACTTGGTTTGTTTCGCTTTGGTGAACTGCATTCTCTTGTTAATTTTATCCAGCACATACTCCTGAATGGTGGCGTGAATAATGATTGCCACCAGCATGTAGAAGAAAATCGTGGCCAAATCTTTGACACCGTAATGATAAAGGGACTTTGATCCCGCGGCTGGCTCTTCTGCGGCAGGGACGGTCACACCGTGCTGGAGAGTCAGAAAAACGATCGAAGCTTCTGCGGTGCCCTCGAACATGAGCCCCAGCACGAAGAACATCCCCACGCAGGAGACGATGTCCGCATGATTCTGCAGGACGAACTCTTGGCTCAGGACCGGGGGGTTCTTGGAGCTCTTCTTGCGGAGCCCCATGGTGGCGCTTCCGGATACTCACCGACGAGCCGCAGCTGCCTCCCCCCCAGAGGCTCCTCACAGCGCCGCCGCCGCCGCCGCCGCCGCCGCCGCCGCAGCTCCGGGGGCTCCAGTTCCCATCCCCGAGCCAGTCCCGGATCGCCGCGGCCGCCCAGAAAGCCAAAATCAGAGGCGCGGGCCAGGCAGGGCTGAGCATGCGCACCAGGGGGACGGCGGAGGCAGGGCAGGAAATCGAGCGCCGCGCCCAGACCCGGCGCCAGGCCCGGGGCTGCGAGCGCGGAGCCTCAGTGGATCGTCGCTTCTTGGAATTCGCTGCCACGGCTGGGATGCTCCTGAGTTCTCTTATCAAGTGACATCGTTATTCGCAATCACAAAACCGATGGAGCCCTGGTTGTGCCTCATCATATCGTTAATTATAATAGCAGTGGCATAATAATTATGGCAACAAACTCACATAGTGCTATTTATCAGTTGCTGCTACTCTAGGCACTTTGTGTATTTATAAGTTTAATCTTCCTAGAAAACCCAGTGAGGTAGATACTGTTATAATTTCCCCTCCCCCACCTTTTTTTTTTTTAACAGACAAGAACTGAGGCACAGAGAGGTAAAGTAACTTGCCCAAGATCATATCCCTAGAAATTGTTATAGCCAAAATTTAAATCTAGTCTATCTCCAGGGTATGTTTTCTGTACTGTAAAACAATCATACCTGGAAATATTTGCTAGATTAACAACAAAGCATATTAGAAATAGTTGCCCTATTAGCAACAATAATATTTGTGGCAACGATATTGTCTAGTCAGTATTTTGAAAAACTGAGTGGTAGTTGGAAGAAGACAACTAACTATTTGTCAGTTCATGAAAGGTCTTTGACTTCAAAGCTCAAAACTGAATTTCTTCATTCTAGCAGATAAAAACTTCATGTGTTATTTGTAAGCTTTTGCATATATAATTTCATTAAAATTTACATTTCAAAAACAGCTTCTTTGGTAAACGCAAATACTTTTCTCAATTCAAATTTCTTGTCAGTCTTCAAATTTTTCCTTGCGTGCAGGGCAATTTTCTTGTTTCTTGTGTGTCTCATGAGATTACAATCATTACTGATAGAGTCGAGGTTTGAAGTTTGAAATACACATGTCAAAAGAAAAAAGTACTATGGGATTTAAAAAATTGTATTTAGACGGCCTAACTGCATTATATCATTGTTTCTTTGCATCCCATGCACTGACATTATATGCAATTCAATTTGTGTAATTAGTTTTATAACAATATTAAAAAAATTATCTGATCAGTGGATAGTGCACCTACATTTCCTAGAATAGCCAAAATATTGCATGTAGAAATTGTTGTGGAAGGTGAGTTAGGGAAAGCACCTATATATTTTTCAACGCCAAGTATTCCTTATTTCTTGGAGTCTTCAAAGGATAGTCAACAGTTTTTAAGGGTCTATTGCACTATTTTCCCACCTCTGGATGTTACTCAGTTCTTGGCTCTGACAACTTGACAGTTTGACAATGAGTGCTATTTAAGGTTAACTAAATCACTAAGGAATTATAAATAAAGGTGCACTAATTAGGGCACTTAGAAATAAGAAAAAAAAAAAATCAAACTGGTTGAAAGTAACTAGAAGACAAAGAATCAGTCAAAGGTAAGAGCAGTGCCCTGTGAGAATTGTCAAGACTTTATTCAGGAAAACACATATTTACCTTTTTGAGACTAATTATAATTTTAAATATAAAATTTGTCAGTCTTCTAGTAGGCATTTAAAATATTATTGTTATTTTGTGGCACACTAACTAAATAAAAAATTTGCGTGTGTAATTTCTGAATTTAGGCTTCGTTTATACTTATGCAAGTCATTGTTTTTGACAGTCTTCCTAACACTACTTGTGGGGATAGATTCTGACAAAAAAAATATATATATATATAGTGCATAGATTGGAAATTTTATTTTATTATTGAAGAAAAAACCATTGTGGACTAGTTTAAAAATATCTCTGGCCTTTAAACAACAACAAAACTTTTTTGCCTCTCTGTACTTATTTTTCAAATAGAGGAACTTTCTTAAGCATGTTATCTATTTCTTTCACTGTGCTTGTAAAATCAAATGATATCTTGTATTTTAAATTTTTAATTTAAATTATACATTAAGTGTAATCTAAGTATTCGAATTTTAGATTTCAAATTAATATCATCATAAAATAAAACATGTCAAATTGACGAAATTAATGGAATCTGTAAGGGTAATTTTTTTTTTTTTTTGAAAAGCAGGATTTATTGAGAGGACAGAAAAGGTCCCAGAGTGGGAGGGGACCCAAGAGTAATTTTTAATATTATATAATATGATGTTTGATTTCAGTAGTCTATTGACATTTTTATTTAACAACTAATAAAATGTATGTAAGGACATTTTGAAAAATTAGGATGCCACTATGATTTTAATATCATATAATATATATTTGGGGGCTATTCTTCCTTTATTCACAACCCTATACATGTGGTATGGATAGTTATTAAAATTCAAATACAGATTTTTAATGTTACCCATGCAGGAGTAATTGTATTTGAACTTCCACTTCTGTTTTAAATAACTGTAAAACGTGACAGACTATATGAAACCACATTTTCCAAATATTGCAAAGCACAGAGCATAGGACTATGATTTTTGAGAACATGAAGACAAATGAGATGAGCCCCATAGTTATCCTGATTTTCTGCCTGGAATCATTTTCTAGACCTTTCTTTGTGAAGGAAAAACCCAAGAAGAACCTAGTGATCTTGCTGAACTGAGAAGAGACAGATAGGGATTGTGATAAACTGAGGCCACTGAAATTTGTGGAGAGAGTACATGTGTAGAAATTGGGTGGTTGAAGATCTCCTAAAATTGGCATAAATGTCCCATATAGCCTGCCATTAATATTAAGTCCTGCATGCACAGGGTTAAAATACACGAATCCAAATTAAGAATAGGAAATTGTTAATTAAAATTTGCCAAGACTTCACATAGCATAGCAGTAAGAGACTTTCAAGATTGAAATAGCCAGAAAGTAGAAACCTCACTGGACACCTGTGGCATTCAGTGGAGCTCCAACAAAATCTACCAGTCTGAAGTAAGACTAAACTTCTCCTAAACCAAAACAGAAATAAAACAGTTTATGCCTGTCCACACAAAATTCACAAGAAGCCTTGAAAAGACTAAGATATTTAACAAAGTTAACTGCCAGTCAGAAAAATACAGGCCTGAACAATGTGAAATTCACATTGTCTCACATCCAGTATAAAATTATGAAACAAAGGCTAGTTTAGTTGGGACTTTCTACCAGAATGCCTACTTGTGGCATCTTCATATGATATCGAGATCATAACAATAAAGTGGCTCAAGGGTCCAAGAGTGAGCTTTTTAGAGAACAAGACAGAAACTTAATGGCCATTTATGAACTGGCATTAGAAGTCATATAATTTTCATTGTCAAGGTAGACACAAACCTGTCAACAAGGTGGGGAGAAATTGGCGCAGAGAGTGGGGATTGTGGTCATCACCTCCTAATGAGAAACTATCTAGTACTATTAGCTAAACTTAAACAATCACATACTTTCCATTGGTAACAAATTTTGTTTCCTCTAACAAGAACTATACACTATTCTCCTACCAATAGTGCCTCAAGCTCAGAATTACTACCTATAGCATTTTTAAAAAATTAGATCCAGGAGTAGATGAAGAAATGTTCTACCCTTTGTCGCACTTAATCCGAAGAATTGTGAAGTAAAGAATCAAGGTTTTCTGGCTTGCACACACCTAAGACATTAAAAAAAAAAAAAGTGGATGCACATAGCAGTCAATAGTCAAAAATTATAAGATACGACTATATCCAGGAAAGGTTCCAAATTTTTTTGAAACCAGTCTTCCTTCCTAGAAAACGGCAGAATGTTTTTTTCTAAAACATGGATTAAACACTATAAATTGATTAGTCTGTGTTTTTTAGTTTGTATAATTTAAAGGATAAAAGACACTAGAAGACAAATGGTGTTAATGTAATCATTTCAATCTTTGTCTTTGTGCTATAATAGTTATTGATTATAGTATTAATTGTGGAGCATTGATTATATATAGTACTTCAAGGAATTAATTTTTTATTACAAATTTACAGTGGAAACAACAGAGAAATGGATAATTCAGTTTCTGACTATCCTCGTGTATTCTTTGCTTGGCCTCATGTATACAGAGGATTACTAGATATTTTGTCAACCCGTTTTTTTAAAATGCTCTATTGATTTTGTTATAAGAAATATTTGATTTTATAAACCAATAGTCTCATTATAATTTAGCTACTGTATTTCAAATTTGTACAAATAATTCTTTCTATTAGCTATGCAATGCAACCTTTTGATGTCTTTATAACATTATTATTTATATGAATAATTTAGCTAAAAAATTTCTTTTTAAGATGGCTTATATGCCTTTTAAAATATAATTAACTTAAAGAGTTAACCTGATATACATTCTGATTTTGTTAAAATAGTATATAATACATTAGCAATTTTATAATGTAACTATAGCCTCACCTTACAATATCTTTATCTCAGAATAAAAATATCTATATGTGTATATATACCTCTAAAATACCAAACTTTTAATAATTTAAATTTGTATTATTCAAGTAATTGACTGAAACATTCAAATTATAGAATTCAATAACAATTAAAGAAGCAAGAAATGTGGAAAATAACTACTTCAAAATATCAGATACATGTCACTTTAAATCAATGTTTATAATTAACAGTCATAATTGACTGAGATCACTACATGCTTAGCTCTGTTAAACAAAAAAAGACAATTAAGTTTTTGCATGACATTACAAAGTCTCGTGGGATCTGACTGATTTAAACAGTCTTGAATAATTTTATTAAAAGAGATATTTATTATATTTTGTCATTTTTATAACTGATAAGACATGATAAAACTTAAGCTTTTAGAAATACACACACAATATACAATATGACTATTTAATGAAATAATTAAAATTCATCATAGTTTTAACAAATTCCAGATTGCTTATTTGCCTGTGTCTATTACTAACTTAGCAAGTAAAAGTAATATGAAACACTTTCCAAGGATAAACTCCGTGAATAGGTTACTAATTTCAGTTGTCTATCACTAAAATATAAGAATTGATAAAAATTAAAATCAATATTCAG